CCTTAAAGGAGGACTGCCTCATGGTGAGAGGGAAAAAAACTATTTGAAATAAGTGTTTTTATTTCTAACTTAAAAGGTTGATCACTAAATTTAAACAAATATTATTTTGCCTGAATGTGTTAGATAAAGTGGGCCAGTAAGTGACCTTTAATGTTTAGTTATTATGCTCAAAAAATAATTTTAAATGTTCCCTTAATTCAATTTTTGTTAGCCTATTTGTTGCTGCATGTGTTATAGTCATAGCCGTATTGACAAGTTTGGGTGAGTAAGGGCAAAACGCACAAGATATTGTACCTTCAATGCCCTGTAGATGGCAATTTCACTTCTTTTGTATAGCAGAAATAAACTGCTGCAGAAAAAGGTGCCATACAAAATGTAACTAGCAATTGCATTAGTCATCACAAATGTAGTGGAGTAAAGAGTACAGATACTTATTCAAAAATGTAGTCAAGTAGAGAGTAAAAGTTGCTAATATCTTTGATACTCAGTAAAACAGCTAAAATGATACTTAAGTGCGGTGTCTAATTACATTTACTCCAATACTTTACACCACCGCCTAATGCACTGTGCACATGATTCCCATAAATCACATTCTTTAACTTCTCTGTAAAACTGATTTTTGGAACTATATGTATTGTGAAAGGTGCGACCATATTCTAGATTATATTTATTTGCATACTTTCCTTGTGGACTTGCATTTAGTCATAAAGGAAAATGAAATCTAAGTGACTGTTGCACTCATAACAACCAAATTTACCAGATTTGACTTGTTATCATAACAGACTTTGAATCCCAAAAATAAATACATTCCTATTTTCTTTTGACAGGTTTACGTGAGGTAAATTTATAGCAGTAAAGGGGACTAGTCATGCACCCTCATGTTGTTAAAAACCTGTACGATTTTAATTCATCTCAGAATAGGACAGTTTGCAGGATGTTCATGCTTTTCCATATACAATGTAAGTGGATGGTGACCAGGAGCAGTCAAGCTCCAAAAATGACTTCTGAACTCAATACATACCCATAATATAATTGTGTGAAGAACAGACAGAAAAAGGCTAAATGTGATTTACTGAAAATATTTCCCCTGCTGTTATATTTGAATGTGTACACAAATGTAAATGACATTTGAGAGCTATTCCTCACACAAAGCTGATGAACAATTGTGTTTTTCCCCGGTGATCAGTGGATGATTGGAATAATAACTCATGTCATGTTGTCTCTATCTTTCTGTCAAATATTAAAATCATTAAAATGAATCTTTTAAACCTCATCCTCTTTCTATACTATTAAGTAGAGCACTGGCAGTGTCTTCTGTCTTGAGAAGAAAACACCTTTTAACTGTTACATTTGTCATTTGAAGGGTTAAGAATGTTTAAACATTTACTTAGATAACCAGGGTAGTGATAATTCTTTAAAAAAGATTAAACACTTTTTTTATCACTATTTATTGTCTTCTACTTAAAATGTATATGCTTTTTATCCATAATCCAAGTAAATTACAGGTAAAATGCATTTAAAAGTAAAATAATAGGTATCATTCCGTTAGTAGGCTATTTACAACAAAAAGGCCTAAAACAACTGTAGAGCCGCTCCAAACAATGGTCAAACTAAAATGCTGCTCAACTGCATATATAAAAGCCAAACCGGACTCATCATGTGCGTACAATTGCAAAGATATAATGCAATAGCTGACGACTAGAGACTGTCACATGAGTAACAGAAAGACAAAACGCCTATGAAAAGATGTATTCATTGTCATGAAACTGCCAGATAACAC